CCAAAGATATTCCATACCTCTAAAGGTGGGAGGGTTGCTCACCAAGTACTATACTAAGTGTATAAAAAGAGAATGAGACATTGAGGAAAATTCAGGTCTTAGTGGGACAGTGACCAAGTGATTCTTAAACTACGTAATGTTGCATAAATCCAATCAAAGTATGAACTTTCTAAAATACTGTTTGTGGGGTGGACAATTTGGAGAATACCATTTGGGGTATGTGACTCTGGGTGCATTTACACTTAATGCTTGGTTCTTGACCCTCACTCATAAGGAATTATGGCAGGAATTCTTTCTCTTTATGGCAGTTGCAGAACATTTTCCTATGTATGTTACTGGGCCAGGTTCAGGAGGTTCAGGAAGCTATGGTATATTGGACTTCAGTCTTCTGGGTTTCTGTCTGCCTGGAATCGCCATTAGCTTATTGGGCTGAGCCATGTAGCACAACTTGCAAACTTCTCAAAGCACCACACATGCAGAGAGAGATTGAGAGAGAGAGAGAGAGAGAGAGAATGGATGTAGTATGGTTGTTGTAGACTTTTCGGGCTGTTTGGTGATATTCTGGAGGTTTTTCTTCCTAATGTTTTGCTGGTCTCTGTGGCCGGCAACTTCAGAGGACAAGAATAGAACTCTGTCTGTATTCTGGTGTAGTGTGTGGGATAGTTGAGTATTTGTAGCTGTGGGATCAGCTTTTTGTCCTTTTTAGGAGATTGGGTGATTATGGTGATCAGTGTGCTTTTTATTATGGGTGTATTGTTGTGATAAATGGGTAGATCATCTGTCACTGTGATTGATGGGTGTTCTTAGCTAGTCTTTCGTGTGTAGTGATCACCAGTCCTTGTGGCTGGGTAGAGTTCATTGACCTTTTTGCAGGCTGTATTTTTCAGTGCTGGGAGCCAGGCTTTGTTGAGTTTTAGACTTTCTTCTTTTATTGTTGAAGCTTTGCTGATGTTTGTGGAATTCAATGGCTTCCCTGTGTAATCTAACATAATGATTGCTGGTGTTGTCCAGTTCGTCTGTGTTTTGAAATAGGATTTCATTTCTAGCTTGTTTCAGGGCATCAGCTACTGCTGATGTAGTACATGCTCCTGTCAGGAAACTCTGCTAATACTTTTCTTTTGTGTACAGCCAGTGCTGTTTTGACTACACAGAGCGTCAGCCCTCATGCTCCAAATATCAAAAAAGAAGGGGTCATTAAGCTAGATACATAATTCATTTTGATACACACACACCCTTGTTCTACAAAAGCTTTGGAACAAGGAGGTGAGAAGTGAGGTAGTGATCAGAAAACGGGTTTAGTTTTTTCTCTCTATTAGTCCTCTAAGAGTCAGAAGCAGCATGAACTATTGAAAACTCAGTAGAACGTGACCATATTGCAACAACAGTATGTGGACCTGGCCTTCTTATACAAATGGGGGTGGCCATTAAATTATTTATTTTATTTATTTACAATAATTTTTAGCTGCACCATTGCCAGTGGCTTCTGGGCGGCGTACAACATAAAAACTTAAAAACATTAAAAACATTTTAAAGGACAATATAAAATAGCATATATTAAAATAATTCTTAAAACATTAAAATTAATAAGTCCTGCTACTCATATGGCCAGCTAGGGAATATTGTTTAATTAAAATGCTGGCTGAACAGAAAGGTCTTTGCCTGGCGCCGAAAAGCCAAGAGTGTTGGAGCCAGGCGGATCTCTCTAGGGAGGGCATTCCAAAGTTGGGGAGCAACAGCCGAGAAGGCCCTATTTCGACATGCCATCCCCCTCACCTCTTTCAGGGATGGCACCTTCAGAAGGGCCTCCTGGCCTGATCTTAGAGGATGGGCAGGCTCATATGGAAGAAGGGGGTCCTTTAGGTAAACAGGTCCTAAGCCGTTTAGGGCTTTATATGTCAAAGTAAGCACTTTGAATTGGGCCCGAGCAGCAACCGGCAGCCAGTGTAATTTTTTCAGAACCGGCGTGATATGAGTCCGTGCGGCGGCACCACTTACCAGCCGCGTAGCCTGGTTCTGTGCCAGTTGCAGTCGTTGGACCGTCTTCAAAGGCTGCCCCACGTATAGTACATTGCAGTAGTCCAGTCTGGTTGTTACCAGTGCATGAGTGACTGCTGCCAGGCTCCGCTCATCCATGTAAGGGCGAAGTTGATATATTCTCCGCAGCTGTAAGAAGGCACCCCTGGACACCGAGTCCACCTGAGCTTCCAAGGTCAGACTGGGGTCAAAGAGCACCCCCAAGCTGCAGACCCTGTCCTTTAGGGGGAGTGTAATCCCATCTAAGGTAGGGAAATGGCCCTTTAACCTATCCGGCGAGAGAAGCCCACTTCTGCTTGTGGGTGTGATGTGTTATCATGTTGAGTCTAACTTATGGTGACCCTAATAGTGTTGCCAAGGTATGTGCCAAGGTATCTTCCACAGAGTTTACATGGATGAACAGAGATTTGAACCCAGGTCTCTTGAATCCTAGTCTGACACTCTATCCACTACACCACACTGGCTGTGCCTGCTATATTGAGATATGTTACCTTTATTACCATTCAACAGGTACCAGGGTTTGACTGGCCCTACATTTTAATACAAATTATTGACTGAAATCACACTTAAAGTAGGCCCATTGAATCAATGGAAAATACAGAGGAGGCACCAAATCGTCACTGATTCAATGGGCCTACACTAGTTGCAACCTACTACTGCATTCAGGCAATATGTGGTAAGGATCAGATACAGTACTCTGAATGTTACTAGAGTTGCACTGGTAACAATAACTTCTTTGAAGCTATTCTCCAATCCTAACTCTAACTAGATCTCTAACCATATCTCTTTGTCACAGGTCACACTTCGTAAAACATGAACAATAATGATCAGCCAGTTAAGGTAGTAGTGAAAGCAACATCCAGTATGGGATGGAAAGAGCAACATAGTTATGCAAGGGCAAGTAGGTAAGTTTACTTTGTCACTTAGGAAAGCTAGGGAGATGTGCAAGATTTTTTCCAGATTGTCCAGTGCTGCTGCAAAAGAATTCAACTTCATATGCCACACTCATTGTGGCTCTGCTCCTTCTACAAGGATATCTTCCCAAACAACTTTAATACTTAAGATCTTAAACTTGTTCAAAAACTAATTCCAGACACCTGCTTTGCAGGTGTAATAATTGTGTGCCAACGAGTCCATTCTGACATATGGCACTCTTTTCCACGGTGTCCTAAGTAGAGCGTATGTGCGAAGGTGATTTATCATGCCCTTCTTCTGGGAGTGCCCTGGGACTGTGCAGCTTGCCCAAGGCCACACAGGCTGGGTCTCTTCTCAGGAAGCACAGTGGATAATGAAAACTCCCAACCTATGGCCCTGCAGCCTGATGCCTTAATCACTGAGCTATCCAGCTAGCTCTGGTGTTTTTAATTGGGTACTTAATGTATTTTAATTTTTTGCACTGGAGTTTTTACTTGATTTCATTATTAAATTTGGTTTTCCTTGTTTTTATTGTTTTATGAAGACTTTATACATTATTCATTTCATTTCATTTCATTTCAATCCTACCCATCTGGCCAAGGCCACTCTGGGTGGGTTCCATCATATATAAGCAACATATTTAAAATCCAATATGATGATGATGACGATGACGATGACGATGACGATGACAATGACGACGACGACGACGACGACGACGACGACGACGACGACGACGACGACGACGACGACGACGACAACAACAACGACA